TTGTAGCAGGGCTGGACCTAAACGCTGTTTTGCTGGACTTCGGCTGTGTTATGCTTCTCGTTGTGGGGGGGAGTTGCAGGAAAACAGGTAGAGCAACCCGAAACATACAAAATAACACAAAACGACAAACAACGTTTAGGTCCAGCTCTGAGTTGCAGGCCGTGGCCTGTGGGCATTTCCGGCACGGCCTGTGCCCACTGCCCCCGCCGCGCGCGCGTCCGAAACACCCGTGGGTGGCGGGCTGGAGTGAGGGAGGGAGGACGCAGGATATTGCACTCTCGTCCTCAGCGTGGCGGGGACCCAGTGTCCCCGTGGTCGGAGACGGGAGGGGACGGTTGGTGGAAGCGACGGCGTCCTCTTCGTTCTCATCGTGGTGGAAGTCCAGGGGCTTGGCACGACGGCCGACCCCGGCACACAGGCTGCAGCCGGGGCAGCCATACACCGCGTGACGATGAAATGCGCACCCCACGACCCACGGCGCGAGGCGCGAGGCCGTGCTCGACGGGCACAGCGGGGAGCGATGGGGCCGTAGTGGTGCTCCGCGTCACGCGACTCGGCGCCCGCCACTACTGGGGCCTCCTCATCCTCGTCTTGGAAACTGGGCGAGTGCTGCCACATCCGTGGCTGCTAAAACGGCCTTCCCGGAAGAAAAAAACAAATTCCCGGAATCAGGCTCAGCGCACTAGATAGTAACCCCATCGAGCCATTAAGGATCCCCCCGGAGCTATCATTAGCACAGCACCGTAATTAAACAATTCTTGGGGGCAGTGTTCGCCGAACGATATGATTAGCACCGCGCAAATGGAACAACCAAAGAAAATCCCGCGCCCTGGATCGGGTGGTATCCCAATTGGAATTGTAATAAGAATAGAAGTGGCATGCGCGTAGTAAGAGTAGTAACAAGAATAATACTAAGAGTAAGAGTAATAACGATAATACCAATACGAATACTTATAATAACGAGAACATAGAAATCGATAATAATGAAATGCTATTCGTAATCCACGTGCGAATAAAAACAATACCAACACGTATAATAATAAGCATATTAACACTTTCGATTATCAAAATACTGCTTCTAGTACTAGGAATAAGACTAAGCAGTATAATAATGAAGATGCAGTAAGAGTAAACATAACAATACTAATGTGAGTAAGAACGATAGTAAACATAAGAGTAACACTAACAACCACACATACTCATAATCCGAATACGACTCATGATACGAATACTAAAAAATTAAGTAGAATAAGGATAATATTAACTACAACAATAATAAGAAGACTATTTCGAATCAACATGAGCATGTGAGTAAAAATAACAGATTTCCCCCACTCTATTCATCATCTTTGTCCTGTGCGGTTTGTATTACCACCCCTGTTGAACAAGTGTTGGTTTTCCGGCCGTCGTGTGGGGTAGTGCATCCGAGAACATCGCCCCCGCCACGCACGGCGCGATATCTTAGCACCGCACCCGCACAACAGAAGTACGACAGCTTGTCCAAAAGACAAGAAGTACAATCAAACCAATACTAATAATGATACTACCAGTAAGAACAAGACCAATAATACGAATACTAATATTAATACGAATAAGAGAAAGGATACTAACAATATTACACATGCAAAAACAAACGCCCCCCCCTGCTTCTTTCCTCCCTTCCTCCCTTTTCTCATGTTCTTCATCATCCTTACCCTATACAATGCTCGTTACCATCCCTATTCAAGAAAAAAGAATTTTCCCGGCGGTCGTGTGTAGTGTGCATCCGAGGACATCGCCCCCGCAACGCACGGCGCGTTATCTTAGCACCCGCACCGCCAAACTTATTCGCCCCCCATCGTAGGCACGGACGGTTCCTTTTCAAAGCTGGGCTATCCCTTGCGTGGGACTTAATGTTGTTGTTGCTGCTGTTGTTGTTGGTGCTGGCGTTGTTGTTGGTGTGTTTGATGTTGATGTTGGTGTTGTTGGTGTTGCGTTTATTGGCCGTGTTGTTCTAGATATAATTATTATTGCTGGTATTATTGTTGTTGATCGTGTTGGTGCCGTGCTGCAAGGGAGTCTTGAGGAGGAGGAACAAGAGGATTGTTTCTGTTTAGCTGGGCCAAAGCCTCTTGACTGAGTCCTTGGCCCTCGGCTTGATCCGTAATGGCGAATCAGAGCCAAAATGGCTACGGGGGGGAGGGAGAGGAGGAGGAAGAGGAGGAGGACCCCTGATGAGGAGGAATAGGAGGAGGAGGAGGAGGACCCCTGAGAAGGACGAAGAGGGAGAGGAAGAGGACCCCTGCTCGAAAGGCCGAGCGCTGGGAAAACGCGCGGCCACTCCAGTTCTCGCCCAGACCGACCACCTGACGCAGACTCGTATGCGTCCAGAGCAGTTACTGAGGATGTCTCAGGCGAGGCGCTTGCTTCAGAACCACAAGGAGACCATATTGCGAGAATGTCTCAGGCGGCTTGCTTGTTTCGGCGAGCAGGCTCGTCTGCGTTCACGTAAAGGTGCGAGGTGCCAAGGTAACGCTTCTGGGGTGCCGTGTGCGTTATACTTTCGCCGGAGAGGGGGGGTCTTAATTGCTTGATGCGATTAAACGGGCTACTTCCCGGATGAAAAAACGATTTCCCGGAGCTCTGTCTTAGCAGCCACGGGTTTGCCAGCCTCCGCCCGGCTTCTGATCTTCATTGTCGTCCTTCGCTGGGATGAGCGGGGAGGGAATCGGCAGAGGGCGGCTTTTGTGCGACAGCGGGTCAGCTGCTGGGCGAGCCTGGTGGTGGGACCCCAGCCCATGCCACTGGGGCCTGGGACGAGCGTCCCAGCCAGTGGTGACGGCGTGGGCGGCGGCCTGGCAGAGCCTCAAGGACGGAGCTCAGAAGAGCCACGTAATCGCAGCAAGGAGCGAGAGCACAGCGCGTGCGGCACGACCAGCAACAGAGGGGCGACGGCACGGGGTGGGCGGCGGTCTGGGGGAACCTCCCGAAGATAGCTCGCGCGAGCCAGGTAGCAGCGCCGAGGATCACCAACACGCAGTGCACGTCGAAAGCGGCAGCGAAGGACGCTTGGGCTCACGCGCTGGGGTGGTGAGGGCGGGCGAGTGAGGGGGATTGGGTATCCTCCTTGTCGTCCTCGTCCTCGTCCTCGTCCTCATGCTCGCCCTCGTGCTCGTCCTCGTCCTCCTCATCGACGTCGTCGTCGATGTTGCCTTTGTCGTTGTCGTCGTCGGCCGCGGACCCTCACGTACCCACGGCCTGCGAAACTAGGCCATGTCGTGGAGAGACCTGAATCATTAGCTATGGCGGGCGGGTCGGTTGGGTTGGGCCGTCGGCGCAGACGGCAGCAGTTCCAGATAACAGAGGAAGAACACATCACATAAGCATAGAAATATGTTTGGAGGTCCGCGCGTATTTCTTGGATCTGCGGTGAAGCCCCCTCCCTGGTGCGCGGAACGCCCAGGGGCGGCGCTGGAGGCGCCGCCAAGAGGGTCCAGCGCGGATCAACAAAATCCGCGCGGAGCGTCGACAGCCCATGTTTACACCGTTTTGGCCTCCTCCAGAGACGGAGACTGTGGCTGACCGACAGGGGGCTGCAGTGCGGGTCGGTGGGGTCCGAGGCGCCGGTGCAAGAGCCCACGGCCCGTGGCGGGCGCCGCTGCAGGGGCGACGCTGGGAGCTGCAGATATCGAGCGGGAAAGCATTTCGTGCCAATCTGGCTTCTGACCTTGTGCCGGGTCAGCGCGTGTGAAAGCACAGCGTTGTGGAGTACTGTTAGCGTCCACGCGCCTTCGGCGTGTGACTTGTGAGTGCTCCTGGAGGAGCGCTTGAATGGTAGGCCGTGGCCTGTGGGCGTCTCCGACACGGCCTGGGCCCACTGTCCAAGCTGCGCGCGCGTCCGGAACACCCGTGGGTGGCAGGCTGGAGCGAGGGAGGGCGCACGATATTGCATCCTCGTCCACAGCGATGGCGGGGACCCAGTGTGCCTGTGGGCGGAGGTGGGGAAGGTTGGTGGAAACGACGACGTACTCTTCGACCTCCCCGTGGTGGGAGTCCAGGGGCCCGGCACGACGACCGACCCCGACAGACAGGCTGCAACCGGGGCAGCCATGCACAACGTGACGACAAAAGCCACAACCCATGAACCACGGCGCCTGGCCGTGGTCGCCGGGGGCGGAGGAGTGCTCCGAGTCGAGCGGGGACCGGCACCCACCACCACGGGGGTCTCCTCGTCTCCTCGTCGTCCCCCTCCTTCGCCGGGGTGGGTGGGGAAGGAGTTGTCTGACATCGGCTCTGGAGCAGCTGTGGGTCGGCTACGGGGGCGGTCCTCGGAGCGGAGTTCCGTCCCCAAGAAAGAGAGAGCGAGCGAGGAAGAGAAAGAGCAATAGAGAGAGAGAGAAGAAACGCGAGCGACAGACGACCGAGAGGGAGCGAGAGAGAGAGAGAGACCGGTATGTATGTGCATATGTAAGCATGATTCTATGTGTATCGTAACACTGGGGAGATCTAACCGCGTGTGGGTAAAATGGGAGCGAGCCGAACCAACCATGATAAGTTTGCGTTTGTTTGCCCTCGGAAGAAAGCAGTGGCACCAAAACCTAAGCCCATATCCCTCGTCTTTGACTCGGCCAGGGTTCCCCTATGTTTGTAAAGAGGAGGCCGCAACTACGAAGGGCCCGCCACATCCTGACAAGAGGAGAAAACGAACAATAAGAAGAAAACGGCGGAATAAGAGAAAGAAGACGAGGAAACGGAAGAAGGCAAAACAGCCATAATGTCTGATCTGGGCAAGGTGGCGGGAGGACCAAAAGAGAGGGAAGAGGAGGGAGGCCAAGAGGAAACGGGGGACGAGCAGGAGGGGGATGCGAGGACGACAAGGAAGTGGAGGAGGAGGAGGGAATGGGGGGTGAGGAGGAGGAGGAAGGGCAGGATAGGTGGGGCGAGGAGAAGGAGAGGAGGAATGGCGAGAAGGGTAGGGGGGCGAGATGGGGGGGGCACACGCCCCCTCGCGGGCGCGGCGCCTGTGCCCGCGCCTCTGCAGCTGCGGGAGCAGCACGGAGAGCACGCGCAGCTTGCACGACAGCAGCTGGCCACCCTGCCGGCGGGGCACGAGTGGGCGGAGGAGAAAGCACGACCCCCTGCCGCGGGCCCCCCCTGCCTTCGCCCGCTCTCCCCTGCTTGGGGCCTCCTGGCAGGCCCTCGTGGCCTCCGCAGCGGTGGCCTCGGCGCTGGTCGGAGCGCACCCGGGGAGAGGTCCGGGCAGCAGCGGCGGCGGCACCTCTGGCGTGTGACGCACGGGGTGGGGTGGCGGGGGGTGCCGCGCACGTAGGCCGCGGTGGACGGGCGGGCCTAGGCTTCGGTCGGGCATGTCCTCCCACGGGCGCATTCTGCAAGGAACAACAATCAAGAAACAATCAACAACCATCACTTTTTCCTTTAAAGAAAGCATCGAGCATCGTCGCCAAACAATGTTTAACTATTCTTGAATACTCCTCCTGTTGACGGGACATGCCGACGTAAGCCTATGGCACGGGCGGGCGGGGGGATGGATGGGGGAGCAAGGGCGCCTAACTTCCGGCTTCGCGCTGCGCGACGCTCGAATCCCTTCGCGCTCTCGCGCCGAACCCCGGAGAGAAGAGGAGGACGAGGAGGATGAGGAGCCAAAGCGCGAAGCGCGAATGACTTCGTGCCCTGGAGGGCGCGCTTGATTTTTGGATTTCAATGCTGATTACGCAATGATCCTATCAGCAGAGTGCGGCACGCAGCTCGCAGAAGCGTGCCACGCCACAATTGTGGAGCTGAACGTGTAACGCAACACGAGTCTGGATCACAGGGAGGAGGGACAAAAGGCTGGAAAAGAGGGCCAAGGGGATACATATGCAACATACACCCTTTGTGAGGAGGGGGAGGAGGAGACAAATTAGGAGGAGCGGCACGTGATTATAGCGTATCCCTGTCTAGGCGCCTGCGTGGTCCGCTGGCCCCGCGGGCAACGGAAGAGAAGCCGCCAGGCAAAACGGTCCACATATCGACGAGAAATCAAGCATGACGAGGACCTTGAACTCCTCCAGCCGAGAGGCGTTCGGCTAGAAGGGCACTGTTGTCGATATTACCCTCGGGGTCCTCGGGCCTCGGAGTTTCTCGAGACTCCCAAGGCGAGCTCAGAGTGCGCAGACTCGCCCTCACCACACTCACAGTCAGAAGCACCGTGCCAACGCCGCGCCGCAGGCGGAGACCTGCCAAGTTCGCCCGCCACGTACACCCGCGAGGGCGCGAACAGGTCGAAAGGCACCAATGCTGGAGAGATCTCTCGCCCACGAAAGCAGCCGAGACCCATCCGAGAGAACGGGCCTCTTGGGCCATCTGCCAAACTGTGGACATACGGCTAAGCTGGTACCGTAGCAAACGCGAGACCGTAAGAACGGGCCTCTTCGGCCATCTGCCAAACTGTGGACATACGGCTAAGCTGGTACCGTAGCAAGCGCGAGACACAGGAAGAAAACCCTTGGAAGCGTCTGCCCCAGAAGCGCCTGGGCGCACGAAAGACACCGGTCCAATGATTGGAGGAATAACCATGGGAGGACCTAAGGAAAACGACCTCCTTCCGAAGCCGCACTGCTTCTCATTTCAGCGCCTTGACCGTCTCCGTCTCCTCGCCGACCTCGCTCTCCGAGGTGCCGCCCCACTTCCCCACGGGCTGCAGAGCCGCCGGCCGCACAGCCGCCCCTTCTGGTTCCGGCTGGCGCTTCTGCTCTTCGGAAGCCCTTTCGCATGTACGCCGCCGCCTCGGCGACGTCAGCAAAGGCCGCCCCAACGCTCGACCAGCATCCACCGCAGCCAATCGTTCCGCCCCCTCCGCTTTCGCCTGGCCCCCACCTCCACTCCCGCAGCCACCCGCGCACACGAGCCCACCCCTCCCGCAACCCAAAAGTGCTTCATCGGCCCAGGTGCACCTAGGTGCGCCGAACGAGCACTGGAGGCGACCACGTTCTGCTGCCCACCCAACTCTCAACAGCCCTTGCCTCCACCTGGAGCCATTCCTCGACGGACGCCTCCAACGCGCTCCGCCTGGCCGACCCCGAGAGCTTCTCCCCCGAGATCTCGCCCAGCACCTGCCTGAGGACAGCTCTCGCAACGAGCTGCTGGCCTTTGGGACTCGACTGCAGCCCGCGGGGCTTGACCTTGCCCTCGCCATCCATCCTGCGCGACTTATCGCAACTGGTGGCCTCACAGGTGATGTGACCAATGCGTTCGCTGAGGTCCGCGGCCGTGTTGCCTACAACATGGTCCTGCCTGGATTTTTCCAGCGTCGCTTTCGGCTCCTCCTCGTTCACGTGCTTCGTGATCGCTGGCGACACCAGATATAAGATCGCGAGAAAACGGGGTGGGCGGGGAGGGTGGGGCTGCCGAGGTCGGTGTTGGCATCTGCCTCTGGTAAAATGTGACACGATACCCGGCAACAAACGCACGCAAAAAGGACGGGAACGAGCTGTCGGTTTTGGAAAACGTTTGCTACTAGGCTGGCGCCCTTGTGCTTCAGCGGGCGCTCTTGTGTCTCAACGGCCATTGTCCGCGGCGATAACGACAGCGAGTCATGCTCAAGATGGGCAAGGACTGCTGTCGGTCCTCGCCCCCTTCTTCCCGTACCCATTTCGATCGCACCGCGAGGTGTCCCAGAACACTGACGTTGCGTTACTTCCCCAACATGGACCCCCCAAGGTCTGGACCCCTTCTCTGGAACGAACTTGCATTCCGAGCCGATTATTTGACAACCCATGGGCCCAGCACGGGCCCCCAACGGCCGGAAACTGCCATACCCGTCGGCCGGAAGAGTTGGGTAGAAACATGACATAAGAAGGCGTTGGAAGTAGATTGGATCTCCGCCCACCCCCTGAAGAGGAGGGAAGCAGGAAGCGCGCTTGACTCTTGAAGTAATTCGGAAGGCGGCTAAAATATGTTGGGATCTAGATATCCAACGCACGTTTACTTTCAACGACCGGCGTGCAACCCCTCGTCGCGTTTGTTTGGTTGTTCCCGCAACGCGAGGAGGACCTGGGATGCCCCAGTCAGGAACGCAACGGCGGCAGCGGGCATCTCTGGCGCGCGGGCCCGGGCCCCCAGTTGCGGGGGAGGAGCGAGGAGGATGGAGGAGGAGGAGGACGACGACGAGGACAAACGAGGAGAAGGAGGAAGAGGACGAGGATGAGCAGGAGGAGGGAGAAAAGGAGGAGGAAGGGGACGAGTAGGCGCAGGGAGGATGGAGGAGGAAGGAAAGAGGACGGAGGAGGGGAACGAAGACGAGGGGGACGAGGAGGGGATGGAGGAGGTGCAGGAGGACGGAGGAGGACGGAGAAGGATCGAAGAGGAGGACGAGGAGACGAGCAGGAAGGCGGAGGAGGAGGCCGAGGATGAGGAGGGTCGTGGGGGAAGGAGGATGGAGAAACAGGTCTGCACAAGTGGCCCTGTGGGTGCCGCGGCGTCCGCCCGGCACCACCCCACGATCCCCAGGCGCGCCCGCGTGCCTGCACCGAATGCGGCATCATCGCGCGCAGCCAAGGCAGCACCTCGGCGGCCCGGCCCGGACGGAGGAGGGATGAGGGAATGGAGAAGTAGGAGGAGGAGGAGGAGGAGGAGGAGGAGGAGGAGGAGGAGGGAATGAAGAAGTAGGAGGAGGAGGAGGAGGAGGAGAAGGAGGAGAACGCTACAGCCTTGAAGCTAAAGTTCGCCCAACGTAACAAGAGGAGGGGGAGGAGAAGGAGGAGGAGGAGGTGGTGGAAAATGAGGAGGAGGAGGAGGAGGAGGAGGAAGGGGACGAGGAGGAAGAGGAGGAAGAGGAGGAAGAGCAGGAGGAGCAGGAACAGGAGGAAGAAGAGACTGAGGAGGAGGCCGCCTGGCGCCGACGGGGGAGAAGGGCACGGCGGCCGAATTGAATGTACTTGACCCTGGAGGTAGCGAGGGTAAGACGGGACCTCGGAGCTCTACGGTCCACTGCTCCGTCTCCGATTCCGCCGCGGCCATGATTGCGGAGGTGCCGCCCGTACTTGTACGCGTGGAAAAAGGAACACCAGGCGAGTGATGGTGTCATCGCACAGCTTCGCATGCGCACATCCTAGGCGCACATGCAACGACTCGGCCAGGAACGGATCGGAACCAGGAGGGGGCACTAACTTCCAGAGCGGGCCACAATGACAATATTGCGCCTGGTCATCCCGTTTTCCTTTGAACACCCGACAAGGCATGGCTGCGTGGCCACAGGCGCGCCTGAGTGATAATGCGATGTTTGATCAAATGTTAACATATCGGAGGCACGAACGCACGCACACGCGTACACGCGCACGCGCACAGGCTCAGGCTCAGGCTCGGGATCGGGGTCGTGCTCGGTCTTGGGCTCGCGACCGAGTCTGCGAACGCGCACACGCACACGCACGCGCAAACGAACGCACGCACGCGCCCTTACGCACGCACAGGCGAACGAACACGCACACGCACACGCACACGCACGCACGGACACGCACACGCGCGCGCACGCGCATGCGCTCAAGGTCAGGCTCGGGCTGCGCTGGCTCGGGCTCGGTCTCGGGCTCGCCAGGGCACGCGCGCGCACGCGAAATGTTCGATCGCGTGTCAGCCTACCGGAAGCATACGCGCGCACGCACAGGCGCACGCACAGGCGCACGCACACGTACACTCGCACGCACACGCACGCACGGACACGCACACGCACACACACAAAACAACACAATACAACACAACACAACACAACACAACACAACACAACACAACACACACAACACACACAACACACACAACACACACACAACACACACAACACACACAACACAACACAACACAACACACACAACACACACAACACACACAACACACACAACACACACAACACACACAACACACAACACACACAACACACACAACACACACACAACACACACAACACACACAACACACACAACACACACAACACACACAACACACACAACACACACACACAACACACACACAACACACACAACACACACACAGAACACACACAACACACACAACACACACAACACACACAACACACACACACAACACACACAACACACACAACACACACACACACACATGTAGATGTAGAGGGGAAAATCCATCCCCATAATTCGCCGGCCCAACGGGCCAAAGGCGTGCTAAGATCTCCGGCTACTGGTAAACAATATTTCCAATTCGCGCGCGCGGGGCGGCCCCTGTGGGTCCCCGGACGAAAAGTAACCCGGCAGGTACTATCCAGAGATGGGTTTTCCTTCTGGGCGCAGCTTTCAGGCGCCCCCGGGCGCTCCTAGAGGGCCCCACAGGTCCCCAAGACGGTCCAAGACGGCACCGAGTCGCCAACCGATCAGCCCAAGACGCCCAAGATAGCCTCCAGACGGCCGCAGACGCTCCCAAGACGCCCAAAGAGGACTCGAAGAAGTGTCTCAAGAGGGCTCCAGGAAGCAAAAACAATCGATTTTGCCGTTCTCATATGTTCGGCTTACCGGCGCTCAAGGACGGCCCAAGAGGCCCCGAAGATCGCCCCAAGACGGCCCAAGAGGCCTCCAAGAGAGCCCCAAGAGGGCCCCAAGACGGCCCAAGAGGCCTCCAAGACGGCCTAAAATATCCCCAGGACGGCCCTAAGCGGGGGCCAGACGGGAAACCCGACCGGACACTTCGAGCCCTCGGCCCCAAGAGGCTCCTAAGACGCCCAAAGAGGCCTCGAAGAAGCGTCTCAAGAGGGCTCCATGAGGTAGAAACAATCGATTTCCCTTTGCCTCCAAGAGAGCCCCAAGAAGGCCCAAGAGTGCCCCAAGGGGCCCCAAAAGAGGCCCCCAAGACTCCCAACAGAGGAAACCCCAAGAGGCCCCAATAAAGCCCCAAGAGGCTCCCCAGAGGCACCCTCCGAAGAGACCCCAAGAAGCATTCATGAGGACTTTGACCCACAACCCAGGTACGTCTCGAAACTCGTCTAGAGCTCTCTTGAGCCATCTTGGCGCCCTCTGGGGCAGTCTAATGGCTCCCTTCGACAGGGTGCGAGCCACATTTCCAAAGATCTCCTCGAAGATCATACTGCCCTCCCCCTGGGCACGAGCACACCACCACGCCGCCACAGTGATGCGGAATGGGCCGGCGGAGTGAGCGAAGCGATGAATAACCACCCCGACACGCGAAGCCGTTCAGCAAACGCAACCAACGCAGGAATCGAACAGGGCACGGCTGTTCAGTAAAAGCCCAAGGCCGTATAGCAAATGCCAAGAATGGGGTCCGCGCGAATGCGCACGCGCACGCGCGCGCGCTCAGCATCGGGCTCGGGCTGCTCAGGCTCGGGCTCGGGCTCGGGCTCGCCGGGGCACGCGGGCGCACGTGCACGCGAATTGCCCCCGTCTGGGAATGAGGCGCGACTTCAGTGCCAGGACCCCGCCCGCGCCCCGTCGACTCAACCTCCCCCCGTCTTGTGATAGTTTGACGTCTTTACGTGAGCTGCGACTCCAGCGCCCATTTTTCACGAGGAGAAGTGGCTCCAGCAGCATAAGCCGACAAGAAGGGTGGGTGCCAGAGGCATGTTTTTTCGAGGGACGGTGGTCCCAGCAGCCCACGGCGTTGGCTCCAGCACCAAATTGATTTTGACGAGGGAAAGTCGCTTCAGCAGCTTATGCCGACAAGAAGGATGGGCTGTCGCTTGAAAGGGCAACTAGAGCGACCCACACCGCAGCCGCGAACCCACCATCAGCTCGTCAAACAATCCACCAGCAGACGATTCACCGAACTGAGGTGTGGCACTGGCGTGCCTTTGAAAAAGGCAGGAAGTTCCTCCCCGTGCAGTTTTCGGTTTGGGCTTGGCATTCCTGGGGAAAGCCCTTATGAGGGGCAACGATAGGGGGGGATAGGCATAAAGGGGGATACATCGACCTGGAATGGGCGATACATCGTCGATAGATCGGCGATAGGCCTCCGATAGTGAATCCGCACCTTCCTGGGCAGGTTGGGGCTATCGGGCCCCTATCGGCGATCGATGGGCGATTGGGGGTCGATGCATCCCCCCCTATGCCTATCCGCCCCTATCGTTGCCCCTGACCTTACTGCTCCACCCGTCCGACACCTCTGCGCGTCGACCACACCAGAAGCCGGGGGCCTCCAGGAGGGGAGCCGGGGCACCGTGGCCCGAGGCATGCGCGCGGACGAGGAGGGGGGGGGGGGGGAAAGGGACGCATTAGGTCGGGCGTGTCCTCCTACAGGGGGATCTTGGAAGAAAAATGAAAAAAAGGATCAAACCTATTCAAAAATATTTCAAAATAGTGCAAAATTGCTCCCCAGACCATTTGTTGACTACTTTTTTCAGTAGCCCTTCCTGTAGAGGGACAGACCCGACGTAAAGGGACGCATTGAAAGGAGAGAAGGGGGCCATGACATCCGGAGGGACATGTTGCCCCCAGCCATGCCAAAGTCGGGATCGCTTGCTTAGCGTGTCGTCCCAGCGGCCGTGGCGACACGCTATGCCAGAGAGTGTCGCCCCGCTCCGCGGGACAATTTCGAGACGTTGAGGCGTGGTGGGCCAGAGCCGGCAGAGCGACAAGCTAGCCAACAGTTCCCGACCGTATCACGCCCCCCGCCTTTTGGACGCCCGAAATATGTCTGGAGTAACTCCTGTTTTGGCCCCCGAGGCGCGAATCTGTTGCTACCCCTGACCGCCCACAGCCCCGCTGATTCGGAGCTCTGAGCCTCCGTCCTGCCCTTGGCTGCCCTGATACGCAACACGCGACACGTGGCGCATTTTCATAAGGAGCTCAACGCATTGACTACACGCAGGTCCGACGCGATACGCTCGCCAAAGCGGGGGCCAACACGCTAAGCCAACACGCAACGTGTACGGGCGTTTGGAGCACGGCATTTCTGTCTCAAACGGACAACGTCCGCGGTGACAGCGACAGAGATTCCTGCTCCCAATGAACAAGAACTGCTGTCGGTCTTCCTCCCTGTCCTTTACGTATCCGTTTCGATCGTACCGGAGAGAGGAGGAGGAGGAGGAGGAGGAGGAGGAGGAGGAGGAGGAGGAGGAGGAGAATACGTGTTGCGTCTCAAGGCGGGCGTATCGGGGCAGCTGAGGTCCTTCCCGAGCCTCCCTTCTCTGCCCCCTCGCCCATACACGGCCGACCAGCACGGGCTGAGGCTGCGCCGCCTTATCTCTTGCCACGCGTCTCTGAAGGGGGCCCAGGGACACAGAAAGGAATACACACAAATCCAAGGATCCCAACTATTTGCAAATACTTCCTGGATTTTCGTTTCCCTTCCCATCGTTATCTATTTTTCGGGGGGTCGACGTTTATGTGTGTCTGTGTTGTTTTTCCCCTCCTGCGTCTCGCCCGCTCTCTGGTTGGGGGGGAGCGAAAGGGTAGCAGCACACGGCAGGATAGAGAAATAGCTCGCGTAGCTGGTTGTCCATGCGCCTCCTGGCGCCGGGAGGCGCGCATGTATCGAGGAATTGGCCCGGCGGCGGGGCGGAGATCAGCCGCATGCAGCAAATGTCGACCCCCCC